GAAACTTTTTTTCAATTTCGGCCGCATTTCGGCTCCAAAATATAGCTACTTGTAGATATATCAATAAATTTTTTTAAACCTCAGATAATTTGGGCCAGATCTGCAGCAACTTTTAGCAGACTTCAGAAAATTTCGGCATAATCTGTAATAATTTCGAATCGGACTTTAAAGTTTTGGCCATATATTAAATATAGGTTGTCCGAAATTCCAGAGCCCTGCCGAAATTATGTAAGTTGGTCGAAATTCCTCAAAAGTTCTTTCATAGGTTCTTCAGACCCGGATTAACCTATTTGAAGCCTAATTTCAGCCAGATCTATGAAATCAGATGATTTTGCTTTGAAGAGTTTGTCATGTGGGCGAAATAGCCGAAATATTTCGGCAACATGTATAAAAGAAACCATTCGCGATCATACAGTTTAGCAACATGCACATCATACCGCATACGCGTATACAAATCCTGGAATGAACGAAAATTTTATTATTTTCAATTAATGCTATAGATAATATTACGGGCAAATCTTTTGAACAAATATGATTAGAGTAACAGGAGTAACAGGGCCAAATGTTCGAATTAGTGTTTCAATTTGGTCTCTTTTTCTGGTAATATGTACTATCTCTAAAGCCTTCCTATTGTCTGGACACGAAATTATGAGCGGACAGCGTAACTTCGATTTTTCTCTTGCCAATTTTTCCTTTTTTCCATCACATAATTTATTAATACCTTTTGGTGTAAAATTTATACGTAAATTCGAATTTTAAACGTGATAGTATGTATACGGTGAGTCAGTAACTATTCGTGAATAAATCATAAAATTAATACCATTAATGATTAATCTATGCCTTAGATGATCTAAATTTCTTTTAACCCTCCACTTATAATTATATCAACTTTATTTTTTTTGGAGAATTTTGGTTAAAATCTAGTATTTCATCCCCTGCATTATAGCTACGATACATTCGACTCCCATTCTTATAAATAAAATTACATTTCTACCCAATTAAATGGCATTGAATATATCATTTTGCATAAGCTAAAATACTATTTTATATAATCATTAACTCAATATATTATGAAAAACTTATCCAAGCTATTTATCAAAACTGCCAAACCTTAGTCCGTCCAAACCCTAGTCCGTAGAATATTATTTAATTTTTCAGTATTCCATGGAATGAACAATGTTTTAAACCTCCAATTTTAGTTATAAAAAGTTGATTTTGATTTTGGTATGCCGGGTACGTTACACGTAATGTAATTGCATTCTTAAATATAAGTAATAAAAAGATTCTTGTATTAGTATAATACAGTTTGATGATGTTTGAATTTTCTATTTACTATTGAATATCCTTCTCTTTCTTGGTTAAATCAGAAATTACGGCAGGGAGCCCAAGAATCAATTATGTAGAATGTACGCTTAACAGGCCGTTCCCAATAAATTAGAGATTCCGGCAGTTATTTTAACATTAGGTTCTTTTTTTTTCTGCATTGTTAAATCGCATTGTTTACATTATTTAGTTCAAGGCCAATTCAAAATGCAGGTATTATTGTAGTGTGAAATCTAGAATAAACAAAATAGTAAGTTAAAAAGAAATATACATCTTTATAATTAATACAATTAAAACTTACTTATACACAGTGATGTGCATTTATACTTCCAATAGTTTAAAAATTTGGTTGGAAGCTTCCAATCCAAAGTTTTATTAGAAAATTATGCTTCCAATCTTCCGAGAGTACATCACTGCTTATACACAATTGTAGTTTTGGCATTTTCGTATCTTCCCACCTAATTAATTTATGTACTATATGTTGTCTATAGTGTTTAATCCAATAAGCGATGTTGGTACAAGCGGCCGTAAATAACCTTCATTTAAACTTAAATTTTGATAAATAATTAAATGACTTTTAAAAAAATTAAGTAGGAGAATTTGCATTTTCGATTGATATAAAAATGTTCCAAAACAATTAACTAAGAGTTTGTATTGGAAATCAATTATACTCTACATATCCATTCAAACTGCCTCATAAATAATAACATCTAAATTCATCTCATTTATATTTTTTTTTTTTGCAAGTCTAGCCCTTTTCCAAAAATTATTCTATATGTAGCTTTTAACTATAACCTGCACTCTAATCAAGATGTGCTAAAGATGACTTTGAATTGTGCATTCGAATATACCTATTGATGAATAGGCAACATTTGAGTTGTTTTTAATACAGCGTAAAAATAATCTATTTCTCTATAGATGTATTTGTCTACAAACTACCAACTCTCTTTCAAAATTCCTTTCTGAGTTTTCGGGCCAATAATACCAAACATTGGTCAAAGATCTATAAGATTTCTTGCCCAACGAACATTCCTAATTAACAGAAGATTTTAGTTATTTGATGCACTGAAGGAAATATTTCAATCAAGAATTGAAGAATAATGCCATCAATGAAGAAAGTAGCGGAGATAAAGGAAGTGATATAGATCAAGTAGGTAAAGAAGAAAATGTACTTTGAATACAACGACCAATTAACCAATATTTGCTTTTCATGAAATTTAACGTAAAATTTTGTATATCTTTATACAAAATAATCGTAAAATTGTCAAATATTGATCGAAAAATTATACACAATTTCTATCTCCCCATTTAAACTACTATCGAAACTTATAAACACTATCATATCTTTCTGCATATATAAACCACCACAAAGAGACAATTAATAAATATCCATGAAAGTCACAGATATGTTCAAGTTGACATTCTTAAACCATATATTAGCCAAATGTGACAATGAGTTTTCTTTTCAATTCTACCTAGGTATGTTTCTTAACTTTGGTCTATAATGCTTCTTTTTCTTGCAAATAAAGCGTTGGCAATTTTGCAATCAACTTTCGCTCGCTTGAATCGGTCTAATTCATGCCCCGAGACTGTATGCTTTTCTCCCTGAAGAAATTTCAACGTCATCAAAATTTGCTCTTTATCGAAGTTTGAAAAAAAAAGAGCGGTTCCTTTTCAAATAAGAGTTCGAGAACGCGAGAAAACTTGAGCGTAACGTTTTCACGAGTCAATTTAACGTAATTTCACGGTCACGTGTTAGAACAAGAATTTGATTATTACTGAAAATATCAATACTACTGAAAATAATTTGCTTATAGAATCCTATGTTAAACTTAAATATCTCAAATATATTTTCACATATTCCTAATGACGCTTTCCAGCGTAAGCTTAAATCCTAATTGATTGAATACTTTGATTTTTAATCCAGTTAATTTCCCATCAAAAAATCTGTTCATTAAGGTCTGACTGTCTGAGGCGACCATGAACACCATTCAAGATTAGTTGTTGGAAGAATTCCCGTTAATATGAATTCAAGCAGGAATACAATTTGGGACTGGTCGACTCAGCATCTAAGAACCCTCCCTAGGGATGAAACTGGAGCATTTGCAACTTTCCATTGTTTTTTTAAAAAAAATTTTTTCGTTATTTACTTTATTTGATCCTTGTGTACAAAAAATTTCAATATAACATACAATTATTAACTTCACTAAACTGTAATAAATTTTCTTTTGTGTTAAAAATATCATTATACGGCGAGTTAAGGAGGATTGGGAAAATAATTCGTAATTTTTTCAGATTCTTTAACATTATCTACTTTCTTTTTCTTAGATGTTTGTTTCTTTGGTGTGGATCTTAATGACTTTTTAAGTGCCCTTGTAGGTGATGATGGTTTTGATAAGGACTCTTCCATATTATTAGTCGTTTCATCATCTGATGTATGAGAAGAACGTTTTGCCGGAATAATTGACCCATCGTTCTCATCTTCATTTGTCTCTTGTTTCTTTTTGAAAAAGTTGGCAATACTATTCTTTGATCTTTTTATATCAAGAGGAATAATTAAATCTGGAGAATTATTGCTAACTTTTCCAACATCATCAGAGACAGGGTAACTAATAATAAAGATGTTATTGATTTAATTCGCATAATGTTGAACATAATCAATATATTGATTCGGCACTTACAATTCTAGTTCACCTGTAAATGGGGTTAAAAGCCTAGCCAATTCGGGACTCCAAGGAGTTCGAGGATCTAACCATGTAGACAATTCTTCTGAGCCATTTTCTAAAACTACTGGCATTCTATCATGCAAAAATTCAATCGAAGTTGATGACGATGTCGTAGTAATGATAGTATAAGTATAAAGTGTGGTCTCTTCATCTGTTGTGATTTTTTAAAATAATAATGAATTAAATTAAGTATAATTTGATAAAAGATTGATATAAAAAAAAAAATTTTTTTTTTACCTTCAAACTTTACAGAATCATACAATCCAGCAAATAAAAATAAATTTCCATCCTTTCTTTTGATGAAATAAGGAATCCTCTGTTTTCCTTTTTTTAGCCATTCATAAAATCTAGACAAAATCAAAATTAATTTACTTAAAGCAAAAAAAAAAATATATTTCACATTACTATATATAACAAATGTAATACCCATCAGCAATTACAATACAACGTTTTCTATTCTTCATAGAATTAAATACGGATTTATTATCTGTTAAAGAGTCATCACGACAATTGATTATCAGCTTAGAATATTCAGGTTTTGTCTTTGTCCAAGAAGGGATTAAACCCCATCTCTAGATTATTGATTTTTTGAATTAATTTTTTTTTTAAACAAAAAAAGGCTAACAATAAAATAAATACCATTGTATGAAGAATTGTCTCACGTGAATCATAATCGACGCGAACAACAGGTTGAAAATGACAAGGAGCAACATTGTATCTATTTAAATTTATTTGAATTTCTTCAAATTTAGAAAATGTTATCAAAAATTGACTAAAAATGGGGAATCATAAATCGAAATGATAATAACTTACGAAGACCGATACTTTTCTTCATCAATCCACTTGGTAAACTTTAAATTTGATCTTTCGAGAGATTGCCGCAACGGATCCGGTCTCTATATCATTTTATTAGAATTATTATAACTATTTTGAACTTCATAATAAATAAAAAAAAAAGGACTTACTGAATATACAATATATCTTCCACACATTTTTGCTTTTTCGAAGATAAAACATTTCGAAAAAAGAAAAATCTTTGAAAAATAAATAAATTTGGATTAGTAATAAATTTCTCAGATCGACAAATTACATTACTGTAAATCAGTCAATCAGATCCACAAACCTTAATCTAAATTCTTTTGACTTTGACGCTCAATGTTAAAATTATCTAATTTTATTGGTGGAGAATTTGCTTCTCTCGAAGAAAATTTATATATTGATAATTATGATCCTTCAATAGGAAAAGTTTATGCACAAATTCCAGACTCTTCAGAACATGAAATTAATTTGGCAGTCGAAGCAGCCCAAAAAGCTTTTCATACATGGTCAAAGACGCCATGCTCAACAAGAGCTCAAATAATGTACAGAATAGCTGATATTCTTGAATCAAAATTGGATGAATTCGCTATGGCAGAATCTAAAGATCAAGGAAAAACTTTGGAATTTGCAAAGAATGTCGATATTCCTAGGTCAATATATAATTTTAGATATTTTGCTGGACATATATTACATATGGAAGAAAAAGCTACTGTTATGGATAATGGATATTTGAATTATGTTCAAAGATCTCCTTTAGGTGTTGCTGGGTTAATTTCCCCGGTAGGTTTGATTTAAGCTCGTAAAACAATTCCTTTTAAAAGCATACAGAATTAATGTTTATCTATATTTAATGGTTTTTGTTAATAGTGGAATTTGTAAGTATTATCTACATTTAATTATGTATCATGTATATGCTTGTTAATATATTTTTGATTGATTTGTAGACCTTTGTATCTTTTAACTTGGAAAATTGCTCCTTGTATTGCAGGTGATGAATATTATTTTATTTTATTTTGCCTCGTCTTATTTATTATTTTAAATTATTTTTTTTTTTTGTAGCTGGTTGTACCTGTGTAGCCAAACCTAGTGAATTTACTAGCGTGACTGCATACAGTAAGAAATTAAAATTATGAAATTTTTATTGATTTTATTTTAATTTATGATATTTATTATTTTCTTCAAAAAGTGCTTTGTGATATTTTCAAACAAGCTGGTTTGCCTGAGGGTGTAGTCAACATGGTATTTGGCAAAGGTAAGCGTTACTTGAACATTCAATTAACTTTTGTAAGTCTGATTTAATAACTATAAATCCTATTTATCAGGACCAAAAGCCGGACAGGCGCTCGTGTCTCATCCTAAAGTACCGTTGATTTCCTTCACTGGCGGTAATTGAAATTGCTCAATTGTGTAAACCATTTTAGATAAGATAATAATATTTATCATAATTCAGGGACGGTAACAGGGAAAAAATTGAATGAAACTTGTGCACCATTATTCAAGAAGGTTTCTTTGGAACTAGGTATTTATTTTGCAAAATACATTTTAGCTGCAAAACATATGCATCATTTTTTTTCTTAAAAAATTATATATATTTATTTATAGGCGGAAAGAATGCTAATATAATATTTGAAGATTGCGATTTTGAAAAAGCAGTTGACACAAGCATAAGAGCCGCATTTTCTAATCAAGGAGAGGTAATGATTAAATCATTCACAAATTTAAAAAATTATCTTGATAATTAGTACTTCTGAATTTTATAGATATGTTTATGTGGATCACGAATATTTGTTCAAAAATCAATTTATAAAAAGTTTCTAGAATCTTTTGTTCCAAAAGTACGTCAATTAGTTGTTGGGGATCCAAGAGATCCTAAAACTAAAGTTGGTGCATTGATTAGCAAACAACATATGGAAAAGGTCCTTGGATATATTGAATTAGCGAAGCAAGAAGGTGGTGTAATTGAATGCGGAGGGGAAAGGAAACAACTTGATGGAGAATTTAGCGATGGGTACTTTGTTGAACCTACTGTAATCACAAAGTGAGTAAAAACGAGATATGAAAATTAAAGTAAATTAAAAACTTATGGATTTTTTGTTATTTAGCATCAAGCCATCTTGTAGGGTTGCACAGGAAGAAATTTTTGGGCCAGTAAGCTTAAAATTTGGTTTATAAAATATTTTAATAAATCGTTAAGATTTAAGATTTATAAAAAATGGATTTATATTGTACCTAGGTTGTTACTGTACACCCATTTGAAACTGAAGAGGAAGCAATCGATTTAGCCAATAATAATCAGTACGGCCTAAGTTGTTCTGTCTGGAGTGAAAATGGAAAGCGTGCACGTAGAGTTGCAGAATCTATTCAAGTTGGATATGTTTGGGTTAATTGTTGGATGGTTAGAGATTTAAGAGTACCTTTCGGAGGGGTGAAACAAAGCGGTACGTATTTTAATTCATGGATATCACGAGATATAATTAATTTCGTACTTAAGTAATCCACCTTTTTCGATTAGGTATTGGAAGAGAAGGTGGTGAATATAGTATGAATTTTTTCACAGAACAGAAATCTATTTGTTTGGCAAATTAATTTTTAGTTGGTATATGCTTTCCATTAAAACAATAATTGCTGTTTCAGATAAGAAATTGATAGAGTTGCATTCACATTATTAAACCTTTTATCTATTAAATTGCTAGTTTGTAAATAGATTTCTAAAACGTATAATTACATAAATAATTCTATCAAGATATAAAAAGACTTGCAATAACCTTATACTCTAAAATGTTCTTGAAAATTACCAAATATAAAATGTTCTTGCCGTTTTATTTTACTACTTTAACACGCGGAAATAAATAGAAAAAAAATAAATTTCAGCAATAAATTTGAATCTAATAAAACCAGCATATCTAAAAGAATATAATATCGAAAAAAAATTTATTATCTAATAATTATAAAATAAGTGAATATTAATTATTTAATTTACTTTAGGATTTCAAGCGAAGCTTCTAATGTTTTGTTAGGCCTCTATTTAGAAAGCCGTAAAGGAAATTTGTGATTTAAGCAATTAATACATAAACTTTATTACGCAATTAATATCTATGTAAATTTCATTAAAAAAACGGTATTAATACATTGCAACGGATATTCGGCTCCTCTAATAAAAGAACTTGCAGTCGGCTCGTGCAAATTAAAAGAAATATATTACTTTGAACGCGTACTTTCTTGTCAAATTGATATCTATTAATGACCTATTAAAGAATCTTCTCTTTGCTTACACTTGGATTAGGGGCGCAATTTTAGTTTTATCAGTTAGATAGCCCAAACCTCTTGATTGACACCCACTAAGAATGCGTCTCAGTGGTGATTTGATTTAACATTAAAAAAGTTTAGTGAATATAAAGTGAGTTGAGTTGTGAAAAAATTAATTTCAAATGACATTTGTACTGACTGTGACGACTTTTATACACATTATTTTAATAATCCACGTATGTTAATTTGATTGATTTGTCATCAAATCAAGTGATTATTTTTATCAGTAATAAGATTATTTCTCGGATTTTTGATAAAATTTATTCTTACAAACTAAAAAGAACTTTTTCCTCAATTATTCCTTATTATGGAGAAGAAAATCGTGCAACGCCAACCATACAGTTATCGACATTCAAAACAAGGGACAGAATCCATGTCGCTTAGCGATAGGTGAGTTTACATTCATAAAAAAAATACTCGCATTTTTTTTCTCGATATTGATAGATATGACTTTTTTAAAAAAATTATAGGTTCACCTTAATTAAGATGCAAAAACGTATTTCTAATAAAAATCCGTCGTTAAATCGATTTGTTTATCGAAAATCAAACAAAGGAACATTAACGACAGTTAAAAAGAAAAGACGAACCTACTCTACAGCCGTGAATGATCCTCAAATATCAAGAATATCTGGTAGTTCTCTTCTATATGTTAAAAAAAAAAATCATTTTAGTATCGAATTTGTATTAACATAATCAATTGATAATAATAATATTTAATAAACAGAAGGTCAATCTGTCTTTAGTCGAATCGGTGCCGTTGCACAAACAGTGTCTTTGGATCAAGGCAAGGCCACTGTTAATCGTATTCCAAAACCAATTAATAAAAGAAAGAAAAAGAAACTCAGGAAAACTCGATCAAAACCGAATATTCTCAATTTCAAACTTCCTGTCATTCATGAGGAACATGGTATTCTTTCCAATGCAACAGAAGAAATTGAGGAAAAAAATAAAATGCAAAGAGAAAAAAATATTGTTCCACCTAATCCCGCAACAAAGAAAGTTGAAATGTTATATTCAAGGAAAAGAAAGATTGTTGTAAATGCAAATGATCTCGATAAAGAGCTTGAAGAATATATGGCTGCCGCATCTCATGTTCACACAAATAATGTTGAACGCAAAGAATTAAATCTTATTGTTTCTTCTCCTAAGGTAAACGATGAATCAGAGGATCTTATTGATTTTGAAGTAGATTTTATGGATATAGAGGAATAAGTGTTGGAAAGGGCAAGTTCATATATATATATATATATTTTTAGTATAAAATGAAAATAAAAAGATTAGATGATACTTCTGAATATGAAGAAGTTAAAAAGATTGCGCTAAGATCACGTGGTTCTTGAAGGATTTCGAGATAATATGTATAAAAGATGCAAGAACATTATTTTATTCAAAAGTGAGAACAATAATTATATATAATAATGTATATAAATTCATTTTAAGATATGTCAATTTCGTATATAAAATTAAATTTTAAGCTTTGTTTTTCTTTATTAATCGAATCATAAAACTACTTTCAAAAGTAAAAATGTGCTGTACGGAGGATTGCACACAATTTCTTATCTGTCATATATTACAGTTTATAATTTTCTTTTACTCTTTATTTAAAGATTATACATGTAAAATCTAAAACTGGTCTTTATTATATCATAAAACAAAATCCTCGGATACAAAATACTATTCTTTTTATATTCTTGACATGAGTAAATAAATCAATTTGAACCTGAGCAACCACAAAATTTTGTTAGTACTGTACATTAATTTATTAAAAAAACTGGTATTATTATATTATTATATATATAGGCATGCTGAACACACAAAACATTATATGTCATACGGACAGAATTAATGATATTATGGAACGTTTTTTTTCTACTGCTGGAGCAGTATCGGTTTTGTTAAATATTGTGATATTGCGTGGAAATATTTAATGATACCAATATAATCTAGATTTAGTAATTTTTTTAAGAAGGCCTAAAATTATGGAAGTAAAATTAGAGCGCAATAAATTTGATTTTAAAGCTCGTATCCAATACTTGATATCTGAAGTATATCTAATGATTTTTTCGTTCTCTTTCATTAACGCTGTAAATCACATGTGGAAGTAACAAATTTTACAACTTAAAAAAGAATAAACCAAAATAGGACACCGAAATATATATAAATATGCCCCAAAATCGTGTGGATTTTTCCTTTTTCAGATAATTTGAATAATGCCAAGTCAAAAAAACATATTACCTATTTTAGTAACTGACTGACATTAGCATAATTTCAGCCCTGAAAAACATGCATACAATTAATAGTAAAATTTTCTGAAATCACCTGACCTCTACATAACAATATTTGCTGGTACATTGGAGAAAAACTTTGTTACTAATGACTAAAATTGAGGCAAGAAATTAGCGTCATTATTTAGTCAAGTGATAGTCTATCAGGTGATTTTTTGGTATAAATTGAAAAATAATCATATATACTGTATGTACTGAGTGCGTGGCGAAGGATATATCACATTTTTACAAACTAGATTAATTAATGTAATAAATGTTAATTTCTTATAAAATGAAAATGAAAAGAATATTCTTGTATAAATCTTTAAATAAAATATTTGTTTTATAATTTTTGGTTAAATAGTTGCCCTGTTAATCTGTGTTTTATATTTCCATGTTTTTTTTATGAAAGCCATGGATAAATAAAATATTCGGATAGAAATTTTTTACAGGGTTATAGAGTTGGACTCCCAGCAGTAGGTATAGCACGCGTATATTTTTGTTTTTTATAATATTTATAACCTAAAAGTCCAGCAACTGCGAAAACACCAACACTAAGACCAACTAAGACCAACAGCTCCAATAATAATACCGATTTGTTTACCATTATCGACAGGGATTGCCACACTTAAACCGGTCGAAGAAGTATTTACAGTAGTAGAGTTCTATTTTGTGATTGTGATAGTTGTTCAGGTTCGAATTTTCTACCCATGTAAAACCTCTTACGTCAGAATATAAAAAAATGGTTTCTGTATTAGAGAATCATTTTTTGGATGTACTTGACCTAGTAATAAATTATTCAATTTGCTTCTTAAAAAAACTGAATATGAATTAAACATATAATTTCCAACTAATGTAGCAGAATGTAAATTAGTTGTTAAAGGTAAAGGAGGAGCTGGTGTTGGAACTGACCATTCATATGGGACTACTTTTGTATTTAACACAGCAAGTGGATTTAGAACTGGTGTAGCAATATCATCTTTATTTCCACCAAAAACAATTATTCTTTCATCTGGTGCTATTAAAACAAGGGAAAAAAATGGATCTTACTAATTGTTATTTTTAAATTTGTATAACTATATTACTTACTTAGAACTGCGGAATGTAAAAAACGATTTTCCATAGTAACCCTTCGTGCCGTCTAAAAAAGAAGAATTTACCATTGTTGACCATCTGTCAACTTTCGTGTCATAAGAATTAATATCAAGTATATTCATATTAAACGTTGTTACAACATTTTGATCATTTGTATCCAATCCACTAAAAGCATAAAATTTTCTAGTTTCATTATTAATGACATCATTTATTTCTCTTCTTTTCCCAGGCGCAATTCCAGTTGTTTTTGTTATGATCCATTCATTAGTAGTTCTAAATTATACGAATGTAAATCAAATTTAAATTGATCTACTGTACATTAGCCTCCAAATAAATAAAATAAATCAATATATAATATTTGGTCCAAATGTAGTATTGAATGTTTTAGTTTACCAAAAAACGACTCTCTTCCAAAAAAATATAATTTTTTATCTACAAGAACTGCGCTTTGTCCATGACGTAATGATTGTCCACTTTCAGTTGATAGAATTAATACTCATTTTATCAATTTATTATTTCGTTGTATATTTTTTTTTAAACAATACATAAAAAAATACATGTATTGTAGAATTTGCTACATAACTTTTATATAAATTTCATTATTTCCTTTGTTTTGGAGGTTTGTACCAAATTGTGAAACACGATAACTCCGGGTGATCGTCAGTATTGAATTTTTGGTCAAAAATATCTTTGCGTGGAACGTTTAAATTTAATCGTGAAAAAAAGTCATTTATTTTTTCCTTCAAGTATAGATAAATTCTACTTGTTAATTATTGTATAAGATACAGTAATTTATATAATTACGGCCTTTTATCATCTTTACTTTATTTTGAAGTAATGGAAGTTTTAGACACCAACGTAAGCCTGCGCCACATTTATGCAATTCATTTGAAAAATTATAAAATCTTATTTATGCATAATACTTTTTGGATCTTTGATTATCTATGATTTACTTTTTTTTTTTATTTCTTTTTTCGTTCGTTTATTACACTTGTTATTTTAATATAGTTAATATTGTTGGAGTTTTTTTTCCGAAATTTTTTCGTAAAGAGAGTAACCTTCCTTTTTTAGATCTTTTAATCAATTTTCTTTATTTTATCATTCATTATAAAATTCAGAATTTTTTTTAATAGTTTGATGAACAATTATTATTTTTTCTATTGTATATTTAAGAACTGAATCAGTTTATTAATTTATTTTTTTTTTGTTTAATAACTTTAAAATATAATTTCATTATAAAATTAAACTTTAAGTAAATACGGAACTCACTAAATACGTAAATGATCATCGTAATATAAATAGCGTTGAACTAGCTATATAATCGTATTTACATAACTCCATTGGTGTATTCTCTAAATAAAGAGAAAATTTATAAATATACAAAAATTTCAGAGCAATCTGCAAACAAGTATTTTTTTGTTTCAAAAAGAAAATATTACAAACTTTATTATGATAAGAATGAATATTAATAACATAAAAATATTTTTTTTATTGATAATTTTATCAATAGAAATTGGACAATCAGTAATTCCGGTTGAACGTTATTCACTAAGTTCAGTTCTTATAGATAAGAGAATATATTTTTTGGGGGGAGAGTCATATCATCATAGTCCAAAAAATTCAACAACATTAGATCAAATATTATATCTCGATATATCAAAACCATTTAATACATTGAATCCACCATTTGAAATATTACCAAATACAATTCCATTTGGAAGTTCATATGCAATAGCATTCCCTAGTTCTCAAAAAAATGTAATTTATTTATTTGGAGGAATTACAGTGAATGTAAATACTGATTTAGATGATTTTAAATCAATTTTACATTCATATAATTTAGAAACTAATGAATGGACCATACCGACAACAAGTGGAATTGTGCCTGGAAGAAGAAAAGATATTAGTGGTGTTATTAACAATAACACTGGAAAATTTTATGCTTTCGGTGGAGTTAGTGATCAATATACTGGAACTCCTAATAATTCCATAATATTGAATGATATGAATATATTTGATATTAATACTTTAGCCTGGTCAATAGGCTCTATAATAAATGCTCCACTTCCTCGTGTGGACTATACTGCTACTTTGTTATCTAATGGAATTATTGTTTTTATTGGTGGAAGAGAAACTCATGCTGTTCGTGTTGTTGACATAAATCAGGTAAATAAGTTAAATATTACATATTTCTAAAACTATATTATCTAAGAATTAATTAATTCACAGTAAATTTCAATTTAGCTTGCTCTTTATGATACAAAAGCTGACGAGTGGCCATCAATGGTAAAACTAAATATTTTATTTAATGAAAATTATTCTTTAGATTTATTAATTCTTCTTTTTTAGACGGCACGAAATGTTACTATGGAAAATCGTTTTTTACATTCCGCAGTTCTAAGTAAGTAATATAGTTATACAAATTTAAAAATAACAATTAGTAAGATCCATTTTTTTTCCCTTGTTTTAATAGCACCAGATGAAAGAATAATTATTTTTGGTGGACGTCAAGTTCCTAACGATAATCCAGTTTTAAATCAACTTGCTGTATTAAATACAAAGACGACACCTTATGAATGGTCAATTCCACAAGTTTCTGCCATAGGTAATATGCCTTTAACAACTGCTGCACATTCGGCTATATTAGTTGAAAATTATATGTTTATAAATTTTGGTAAGTTTATTAATATAATTTATATTCAGTCATTTAAGTATATTGAATAATCATTTACTGTATAATTTATGTACTAGGTCAAATAACTCCATTTAAAAATTCTCAAATACAGTTACCATTTTTTTTTATTCTTGACATAAGAAATTTTACATGGGTAACACAATACGAACCCGAACCCTCCGATAATGGTAAACAAATCGGTATTATTATTGGAGCTGTTGGTATTAGTGTTGGCGTTGTTACAGTTGTTGGATTTTTAGGCTATAAATATTATAAAAAACAAAGGGTGCATAGATATGCTAAACAGGCAAAACAGTGTGTGTCATACAATTAAGCAATCGGACATTGCACTTTTATTTATTTCGTAATATACTGCTGGTATGTTGTTTATAAGAATGAAAGTGAATTTACAATAATTTCTACGTTAAAATATCAAAATATTATCTTTAAAGATTTCATTATAATCTAGTTTTTAGCATTTTGGTAAGACGGTCAAAGTTTACTTATCAACCTATTATTAATACAATCCGTTTATAAAGGAGAAGATTTAAAATTAAAAAAATCGAAAACTAGTTTGACAACAATTCAATCATCCATAATGATAATAAGTTACCTTTGTAATTAGAGTTCAGACATATATCTGGGTAGAATTTTAATATTTAATAATTTAATTTATAAAAAATAAATAAGTTCATTATATATAAACCTTTTGAAGTTCTTTTCTATTTGCAAATTTAAATTTATTAAAATATAGTTTTATTGTACACATTTTTATCGGCCGATCCTAAAATCATACCAAATTTGCCAATTTTTTAGAACTTTACTACATTCTAAAACTTTCAAAAACAAATAAAAATAGCTATGTACTTATTATATTAATGTACAGATAACATGAAAGTCTTGTTTGTACCATAAACCCATCGGACGTTAAAAACCCATCGAACTTTGCTTGTATTTATGAGTAAAAGTTCCATTTTTCTTATCAGTCCGCACAAGATGATCATGTAACGCAATTGAAATTTAAGGGTTGTGAAACAAATATTACGGTTTTTATTGTTAAATCCTTAATTTAGACCGATTCTGTGAAATTATAGCAGGGTCTATATATTTCACGAGATCGACTCCGATTATGTTTAACTGTCACGACCACGTGATTGGCGAGATTCTCTTTTTTTGAGGGCTCAAATGCCTATTTGTCACGTACTCTATTTGCCACAACCCGGAGAAATTTTAGGGTCGCTGTATGGAGCGAGCGGCGGAACGGAGAGGGTACATTCCGTGTCACCATGGATTTTTATAAAATAATTTTTAATTCTCAAAGACATAGTGGTTTCCCTACAAAATTCAAGTAAAATTCATATTTTAAATAAAGAATTTTAAAAATATCACCGGTACATTTTATTCGTACACAATTACACAACATAAAAATATGCACAAATTATTTTATAAAAAAAAACAAAGAAAATTTGTCAAATTATTATATAAAAAAATATAAAGTATAAAGGAACATTGTAAAAAAAGGGTTTCTTTTTTGTATAGTATATTTATATTTATATATAAAAAAAAAAATGATAAAAATACAAGTACTTTTTTTATTGATAATTTTATCAACTGAAACTTGTCATTCATTAATCCCAATTGAACGCAATGCACAAAGCTCGGTTCTTGTAGATATAAGATTATTTATTTTGGGAGGAAGATCATATAAACCAACATTATCATTAGATCAAATATTATATCTCGATGTATCTAAACCATTTAATACCGCAAATCCGCCATTTGAAGTCCTAAATGTATCAATTCCATTTGGAAGTTCATTTGCAACAGCATTCCTTAGCCCTCAAAAAGATGTAATCTATTTATTTGGAGGAACTACGAGGGATGTAAATACCAATGTATTTAATAATATTAAATCAGTTTTATATTCGTTTAATTTAGAAACTAATGAATGGACTATACCAACAACAAATGGAATTGCACCTGAAAATAGAAGATTAATTAATGGTGTTATTAACAATGAAAATGGAAAATTTTATGTTTTTGGTGGAAGTAATGATTATTTTGCTGGAGCTATTTATGGCAGAGCATTAAATGATATGAATATATTTGATACTATTTCTTTAACCTGGTCAAAAGGTCCTATAGAAAATGCTCCACTTCCTCGTATAAGCTATACTGCTACTTTATTATCTAATGGAATTATTGTTTACATTGGTGGGACGGAAATATATTTAAATAAATCCCGTAGTTTTGACATAAATCAGGTAACTAAGTTAAATATTACATACTTTTAAAGCTTGTATTATTTAAGAATTAATCATTAATTCATAATAATTTTCAAATTTAGCTTTCCCTTTATGACACGAAAGTTGACCTATGGTCATCAATGGTAAATTGAATATTTTATTTAAGAAAATTATTCCTTAGATTTATTAACTCTTCTTTTTTAGAGGGCACGAGGTGCTATTTTGGAAAATCGTTATTCACATTCTGCAGTTCTAAGTAAATATTGAACTTAATAGTACAAACTTGTAAAATAACAATTATTGATAAGGTTTTTCTTTCTTATTTTTAATAGCATCAGATGAAAGAATAATTATTTTTGGTGGAAGTAGAAATGAAAAGCCAGTTCTAAATCAACTTGCTGTACTAAATACAAAAGTAGTCCCATATGAATGGTCAATTCCAACACCAGCTCCTCCTTTACCTTTAACAACTCATTTACATTCTGCTACATTAGTTGGAAATTATATGTTTATAAATTTTGGTAAATTAATTAATTTATATTCAGTCTTTTAAGAAATTGAATACTTATTCATAATTTATTACTAGGTATGGTATATCCAAAAAATGATTCTTTAATACAGAAACCATTTTTTTATATTCTTGATGTAAGAAATTTTGCATGGGTAGAACAATACGAACCTACTATTGTAGCGTCAACTTATTCACCTGATAATGCCAAAAAAATTAATATTATTCTTGGAATTGTTGTTGGTTTTAGTGTTGTTTCTATTGCTGGATATTTAGGTTATAAATATTCTAAAAAACAAAAAGTGCATAAACATGCTGAACAGGCAAAACATTGTGTGTCATACAATTAAACAATTGGACATTGACTTTTATTTATTTCATACTATATTACTTTATTGTTTGCGATGATCAAAAGAACGAGAGTGAATTTACAATTGCCATTAGTGTTAAATAAAGTATTGCGTAAAATATTTTTATAAAATATTTAAGTACGATACACATTTTTATCGGCCGATCATTTATACGATCCTAATAAATTAGCCAATTTTTTGAAACTTTACTACATCCTAAAACTTTCAAAAACAAATGACTATTGAAAACACAATTTCTATAAAATGTATGTAAAAAAATATTATTTGACCATATATTATTCGAAAAATCATTATTTGTTTATAATTTAAACATAATTTTAATTGATATAATATTAAATATTCGTAAGTCGCACTAACTTAACGTACAAATGATGTTCAAATAACATGTTTCAACATAGTAATGCGAAATGAAATCATTACATAATAAGGTCAATTTACGTATAGTAAATTCCTATTGTAAATTTTTATGACTTTTACATTGTCGTTTTTTGACAGGTTTGCTTGAATTATTATCTTCAATTAGACGTTTTCCAACATTTGTCTTTTTACGAGATGATCTACGAAGTGTTGGCTGCGCGCTGGGTCAATTTTTAATGTCAACAGAATAAATATTAATAAATCAATTATTTATTACACATTTAAAAAATATATACGAATTTGAAGATTTATTTGGCAATTTGTTTTGTTTTCAATTTGCTGCTTTTCAATACTCAATAGATTCTTTATTTCTATTGCACTAGTCGAAATCAAAAATCGGTCATGTGACTTTTGGCTAAATTTCAGCCAAAAGTTCAAAGCTTCGACCAAAATTTCAACACATGACTTTTTGAACATCATCTTCGAAGTCGGTTGAGCATATTCTATAGGCCGACAAAGATAATCACGTGTATATGTGATAAACTTTTTTTTATTTAATTCGAAACGGGTTTTAGATAAAGTTCGTTTCGCTTTGAAACTTTTTTATTAAAAAAAAAAAATTTTTTTTTTTTTATTTTGTTTTTTTTTCTTTTATTTTGTAGGTTTTGGCTCCAGCTCTTGGCGTTGGATACGTTGGATAGGTGAGTTTCGTTTCGAACAACACTTCGGAAACTTTATTTTTTTTAAAACTTTATTTTTTTTTAAAAAAAAATAATTTAATTTATTAATTTTTTTATGAACAGGTTGAATATTATCTTGCTTATGAATTTGACAAAGTAACTTATATGTTAGCGTATATTCATTGGACTGCAGATGTTAGAGAATATAGTGCAGGTTTTATCTCATTTCAAAAATTTGGAGCGCATGAATTCATTGATGCATTTGCTATAGACCATTGTGTAGGGTTTTTTCAGATTAAAACTACTTATTACGTGGATGTAGATTATACAGATGATGAATAATAGAATGGGTTATATACATACTATTAGGGAGTACATATATAAAATGTTTAAATTATTAGACATTTATATTATAACCGTTATTTATCAATTATTTACTATTACATTTTACGGATAATTAATTTTTATAGGGACTTATTATATTTAATATACAAATAACATGAAAGTCTTGTCTGTACCATAAACCCATCGGACGTTAAAAACCATCGAACTTTGCGGTGTTTACTTGTATTTATTATGGTATTCTTTATTACGATTCCATTTTTCTTATCAATCCGCACAATATGATCATGTAATGCAATTGAAATATTACGTTTTCATTGTTAATTCCAGTTCGGCGGATATATGCTGTAAAATTATAGCAATTATATTCGTGTCTGGGTCTATATAATTCACGTGATCGGCTCCGGTTGTGATTTGGTTTACCTAAAAAATTCAAATAAAATTCATATTTAAACTAGGAAACGGGAAACCGTTATCAAGTCCGAAGCGCAGTTATCATTGCACAACATCACGTGCCGGACGGACAACCGTTACGCGGAATTTGATGAAATTTGTACAGTATTACTAATGTAAAATTTGTACTGAGTACAGGAGGTCGTGAAATCGATATGAATAGTGCATAGTCTTCCGTTACACTTCGGACTAATTCGTTACACTACAGTCTACAGACTAATAAAGGATTAAAAAGATCATCGATCGATACATTTTATTCGTACTTTACAGAAACCTTCAATTTTTCTAAATATGTTTACAATATCTTTACAATATAACAGACACATCACTTTAGTATTTCTGTTATTTTCGTTCTAACTATATGCTTACAATATGTAGAAAATATTACATGAAAAATCTGACAATCATATATCAAAAATATGTTTCGGATTTATATATTATATGACAATCACATATCAAGCATATATTAGAAATATAATTAGAAATTCATATGACAACCATATATCAAACATGTATTAAAAGTATAATTAGTATATTATTTTTATATGATACCCATATATTAAAAATACATGATTACTCTTTTTATAACTATTATATATCTAATATATGTAAATAATATTGCAAAATTATGTAAATTATATAATAATTACATGCCGAAATATAATAACAGTGATTAATAGTAATATGCCATAAAGTTATGCATCATCAAAAATTTATTCCTTTTACCAAAGTCTTACGTGTTCAAATACTCAAAAAACTGGTCATCTAAAAAAAATAGTATATGAAATGTTAGTGGTCATTTCATTCAAAAGAATTAGTTCAAAATAAAAGTAAAAAACTTACCGGATCTTACACTTTCCCAAGCACTTAAAAAACCAGCTATCTACAAAAAAAATATGTAAAATTAGTAGCTGTTTCATTCAATAAAAACTATTAAAAATTTTACTAACGTCTAGACTCCAGAGACTGAAAGATACGCCTAAAAAAAGAATTAAGAAATGGACTGTAAGTAAAATTGTTAAAAATAAAAAAAAGTTAATATTCTAAAACTTTACCTATTAAGATAATAATAAAAAATTAAAACAAAAATTAAAATTCTACGCGTCCTGAAAGTATCATCTGAAAAAAAGAATGTTCCTACCAAATTCCACACGTCCAAAGAGCCAAAGAGCTAACCGCCTAAAAAAAAAGAAAAAAATAGAAATTAATAACCATCCTTTAAAAGGCAGAATAATGAAATTTAAAAATATCTTATCAAAATCCCATGCCTTGATTTTGTATTGACGTTGTGGTTAATTTGGATGTACAGTGCTTGGATATGTTGCTCAAAAAAAAGAAAAGAACAAAAATATCAGTAATGTTTTGTTAAAAACAACATTAGAAAAAATGTCACTCACCATCCGTCAAAGATAATGAAAAGCTGTCTAAACTACAAAATACAAAACACAAAACGTTAATTAATGTTTTGTCACATAAAAACCAAAAAGAACATAATTTATGATATACTTTTTAAACATTTTGTTAATATGATCGTTGCTTTTTAGTAATTTTCCAATAATTATGTTACTTCAAAATTCCCACACGTCCAGTTGTCTAAAAAAAAGAAATTAGAAGTTGTTTTTTAAAAGATGAAGTAAATAAATTAGATTATTATTATGACACCTACTGAAGTACCATGTCCAAAAACCAAAAAGCCACTTGAAAGAAAAATAAGGAAGGAAAGGAAAAGGATGAAAAGGGATAGGTAAGAGTGAGAGAAAGGGAAAGAGAAATTACGAAAATTACAAGAGGAAGGGGAAATTACGAAAGGAAAGAAAAAAAAGTTTAAGCTTAAACTATAAAAGCTTAAACTTTAATCAGTTGAATTGCACTGCAGTTAAGCTATAAATCACTGATTATCTTAGTGTTACAAGCTATGGTTAACAACATTTTATACATTGAAATAGTCAAAGTTTAGCAATGGTTTGTTTAATTTTTCGTGAAGTTTTATTAGCTGACTAATATTTGAATTTTAGCCAAAACCAGGGAGCGTCTAAAGCTGTGTTTGATCACGTGATTTTTAATAGTGCAGGCATGATAAATAGATATGTGACAAATAATTTTTCAACTCTCGAAAAAATTTAAGTCCCCGGGATATACAGTATAGTAAAAATGAAAAACTGGAGGGCGCGATGAATATAACAACATCATGTGATCAAACACAGCTTTAGACGCTCTCCAAAATCAGTAGTTGATTTTCAGCTAATTTATTATGAGTTCAATTTAGTTGAATCATTACCAGTCCGAGAATTGTGATTAACATTGTCCTCATTTTCTTTCATTCCAAAAATGTAAATTTATTTTATCCTTTATAAAACAATTTTCCTTTTAGTTTCTCACTTGGGTTATTGATTTTTGCTTAATTCTTTTCATTACTTCTAAAACAAAAAAAAATTTTTTCTTTGTTAATCAAAATTTTCTATTAATTAAAAGTCAAAGCAAAAAATGTTATAATCATTTGTATTGTTACTGGAGCTGGAAGGATGCTAGAATAAATTTTAACATATAAATTTAAAACATATAAATTTAAGAGTAAATTTAATATGTATTTTTGGAATATATCAAACACATCACAATTGTATGTTACTCACACATTACTTACAATATGAATTTCAGTATATAAAGAACATATCTCAAATGTATTTTAGATATATGTTGGTCATATTTTGTTTTTAATATGATTTTGACATATAAAGAACATATTATCAATATATCTTAATAATATGTTAACCTTAATTATATTAATATGCATTTTTGGAATATATCCAACATATTACAATTATATGTTGGTTATACATTACTTATATTTTGCTTTTAATATGAATTTTGGCATATGACAAACATATTTTGAATGTATCTTAGATATGTATTGGTTATATTTTGTTTTTAATATAAATTTTGGCATATAAAGAACATATTATCAATATATTTTGCTTGTATATAGACTATATCTTAGCAATATTGCATACATGGTAATATGCTATATTCATAAATGCTATCTATCGGTGATATATCAAACATATTTAGGAAAATTGAAGGTTTCTGTAAAGTACACAATTACACAACATAAAAATGTACACAAATTAAAACATAAAGCGTAAAAGAACATTGTAAAAAAAGGGTTTCTTTTTTGTATAGTACATTTATATTTATATTTATAAAAAAAAAAAGAAATAAGTTATGATAAAAATACAAGTACTTTTTTTATTGATAATTTTATCAATTGAAATTTGTTATTCATTAATCCCAATTGAACGTAATGCACAAAGCTCGGTTCTTGTAGATAAAAAATTATTTTTTTTGGGAGGAACATCATCTAAACCAGCAGCATTCCCATTAGATCAAATATTATATCTCGATGTATCAAAACCATTTAATACCGCAGTTCCGCCATTTGAAGTCCTAAATATATCAATTCCATTCAGAAGTACATTTGCAACAGCATTCCTTAGTCCTCAAAAAGATGTAATCTATTTATTTGGAGGAAGTATGTGGGATGTAAATACCAATGCATATAATTATAATAAATCAGTTTTATATTCATTTAATTTAGAAAATAATGAATGGACTATACCAACAACAAATGGAATTGCACCTGAACATAGAAGAACGATTAATGGTGTTATTAACAATGAAAATGGAAAATTTTATGTTTTTAGTGGACATATTGATTATTTTACTGGAGCTAATAATTCCAGAGCATTAAATGATATGAATATATTTGATACTATTTCTTTAACCTGGTCAAAAGGTCCTATAGAAAATGCTCCACTTCCTCGTGTAGGCTATACTGCTACTTTATTATCTAATGGAATTATTGTTTACATTGGTGGGATAGAATTTAATAAATCCCAAAGTTTTGACATAAATCAGGTAACTAAGTTAAATATTACATACTTTTAAAGCTTGTATTGCTTAAGGATTAATCATTAATTCATAATAATTTTCAAATTTAGCTTGCCCTTTATGACACGAAAGTTGACCTATGGTCATCAATGGTAAATTGAATATTTTATTTAAGAAAATTATTCCTTAGATTTATTAACTCTCCTTTTTTAGAAGGTACGAGGTGCTATTTTGGAAAATCGTTATTATCATTCTGCAGTTCTAAGTAAATATTGAACTTAATAGTATAAACTTGTAAAATAACAATTATTGATAAGGTTTTTCTTTCTTATTCTTAATAGCATCAGATGAAAGAATAGTTATTTTTGGTGGATGTAGAAATGATAGACCAGTTCTAAATCAACTTGCTGTACTAAATACAAAAGTAGTCCCATATGAATGGTCAATTCCAACATCAGCTCCTCCTTTACCTTTAACAACCCATTCACATTCTGCTACATTAGTTGGAAATTATATGTTTATAAATTTTGGTAAATTAATTAATTTATATTCAGTTTTTTAAGAAATTGAATACTCATTTATAATTTATTACTAGGTGAAATATATCCAAAAAATGACTCTCTAATACAGAAACCATTTTTTTATATTCTTGATGCAAGAAATTTTGCATGGGTAGAACAATACGAACCTAGATCAACTAATTCACCTGATAATGCCAAAAAAATTAATATCATTCTTGGAATTGTTGTTGGTTTTAGTGTTGTTTCTATTGCTGCATATTTAGGTTATAAATATTTTAAAAAACAAAAAGTGCACAGACATGCTGAACAGGCAAAACATTGTGTGTCATACAATTAAACAATTGGACATTGACTTTTATTTATTTCGTACTATACTACTTAAATAAATCTGTTTTATATTGTTTACGATGATCAAAAGAACGAAAGTGATTGTTGTTAGTATTAAAATATTGTGTAAAATATTATCTTTAAGATATAATTATACTCTAGTTAGTTTTTAACATTTTGGTCAGACGGTCAAAGTTTTAACTATAACAGTTAATCGACCAATCATTAATACAACCCGTTTATAAAGGAAAAGATTTAAAATTAAAAAATCGAAAACTAGATTGCAATAATCAATCATCATCCATAATGGTAATAAATTACCTTGCTTGTAATAAGAGTTCAGACATAATATATTTTAATATTTAATAAATTTTAATTATAAATAAACCTTTTGAAATTCCTTTATTTGCAAAATCTAGGCTACACTTGTTAAATCAAAATTATTTTTTTAAGTTCGTCATGACATTCTCAGCTAGATTAATTAAAAAAATGATGACTTTCGCTATTGAGATCTGGTGCAATTCGGCGATTATAAGTTCATATTTTTCTGATTATTATTATATTTTATTAAAATATTGAGTTTTAAGTACATGTTAAATACATTTTTGCAAAGAAGAATAATTAATAACATAGAATTATAATAAATCTATTAATTCTTATATATCTTGTTTCAAATATTTGTAACATCTGGTTGAATAATGGATATCTTTTATTTTTTATTTTTTATTTAACAGTAATAGTTAGCGAATACAAATTTTATAAACATATCAAAAATAATGAAATAGTAAAATAAAAAAATGAACTAAACTATCAGAAGAATCTACTTCGATGGTGGGGCAATTAAACACGAAACTATTAAAGATATAACCAACTACACCTAAAAACCATTTCTTTAATTAACCCACTACCTCCCATACACTAGCCGAAACTTGGTAAGTTGAAGCCCGCCCTGCAGAAGAAAGTAAAATTGACCTTATAAAATTATATAAATCAAACTACTAAAATCTACGATGGTGCTACGAAGTAAGATTAGTATAAAATTCTATTATATTTTTGCCAAAATAAATATAATTCCTAACACTATCTAAAGAATCATAA